ATGTATGTATGTATGTATGTTAGGTACGCATGTCCGTACGTAGATAGCCCTGAAGACTGCGGATGTGTAAGCTTGTGTCGTACTACAAAGCCGAGGAGATGGGACCCACGTGGGGTCTTCAAGAAAGATGCCGTGTCCGTGCCATGCTCTCAGGGTCTCTTGAGGGCATCTTTCGGGTTTTGGTAGATTTCGTGTCGTATTTGGCATGGCTGGAACATCCAGGGGCTTAGACGGAGCCATGCAGGCCTGGGGGGTCCTGATGCTGAGCTCGGTCCCGCTCCGATGTCGAACATCCCCGCCAAAGTCCCCGCCCGAGCTGTCCGACCTGACCGACGCCGTGCAAGGACCAAGCAGGGGGCCTTCGGTGGCGTCATCGAGCGACTGGGCTTCATGAGCGCCGAGTTAATTGAGTGGATGTGTTCAGATAATTCCATGGGCCGCGTGCTATGTACCTCGAAGAACCTAGTAGGACCTAGTCATTGTCGAGGTTCCAATGTGTGAAGCATGATACAGTGGACTTCTTCGTTCACGTTTAAGGCTTGTACAACCATGGCTGCTTCGCTGCATGTTGTACGTGGCACGCAACAAAGTAGGCGTGCTATGGCAGGTAGTAGGAGACACACAATGGGCCGTAGCCGAGCGATGCAAAACTCCCTCAGACACCACTCGTCACGTGGCGTGGTTGGTTGCGAGTCTAGACAGATGTTACACTGTAGAAGCCTGGCACCAGAACAACCCGAACAGCGAAAGGTTCGAGCGGACCATGAAGAAGAAGACGCCGGGGCCTCGGCCATAGCTCGCGACAGGCTCCCAGCTCGACGAAGTGTTTTCTGCGTCTGCACAGCAGCGACGGTTTCGTTCATTAGAAGTGGCTCCGCCCGTCAGCTCGTTCATCACCGCCACTGCATTGAGAACAAAACTCGGCCTTCGCTCAAAGCTTCATAGCCCAGAAGCGGTTTAGCATGCAAGAGTTGAGCGTAGTCTTGGAGGAGGATCCTAGCTTGGAGAGGTTTGTGGTTTCAAGGGGACCCTATCAGCAGGCACGAGCACCCTAAGCCCTCGAGGTATGGAGGCGGAAGGGAACTTGGGCAGTGGATCCGGCATGGTGACGGCCAGGGCTATGTGGCCGGTGAGGGCAAGGCCTGTGTGCTGCTTGCACGACTTGACGTCTGCGTTGAGGTTTAAAGAGAGGGATTCGGAACGTAGGATCAGCCGATGCAGAGTGCCGCATGTCGATCTTTCCATGGAAGAATTTGGGAGGTTATTTGTTTGGAGCTTTCCGCGGCTGAGCTTAAACTGTCCGGGATGAGGAGGGGAGTAGGAGTAGGAGCAGTATGTAGCAAGAATGGCACAGTGACACCAAGAAGAGTTGTCTCCGCAGGAGAGCGGCAAATGGGAGTGGAACAAGGCGCTCATTGCCGAGCTGGGGGTTGGGAGGGTTCGTTGCAGCCTTCAAGTTCCCCTGTTTCGGGTTGGTCTCGGGAGGCCTTTGCTCAATGTACTTCACCGGAGTATCAGAAGAAAATGGAATCAGCAAAGTCTCAGGGGTCGGCTGTGGCACCCAACTCAAGTCCCGAGGTTTGGGAAGAATGACAGTAAGTACAGGTAGCGATATGTAGCGATGCTATTTTCGGATGATATCCTCAAAAGCGGGAGAAGGATACAGATGGACAGATAGATAGGTGGGTAGGTAGGTAGATAGGTAGGTAGGTAGGTAGGTAGGTAGGTAGGTAGGTGGGTAGATCAGTAGATCGATAGACAGGTATGTATACACACATGTATATGCAAGTACCTACGTACATACATACATGCATG